TAGAAGTGTTATTGTTCAACTCTTTACACTTAGGTCTATGATCCATATGTAATTGACTTTTGTGTATGGTGTGAGGCAGGGGGATCAAAGATTTGTTTTTTTCTTTTAGAAATCTAATTAATCCAACCATTAATTACAAAAACTATTCTTTACATATCGTACTGCAGTAGTGCCCTTGTTATAAATCAGGTGATTTATGTGCAGCTCTGTTCCTGGACTCTCAACTGTGTTCCATGGATCTATTTGTCTCTATTTACACCAAGATCACACTGCCTTGATTACTGTTGCTTTATAATAAGTTTTGATATCTGATAGTACAAGTCCTTCAGCTTTCTTCTTTTTCAGTTTTGAGTTGATTATTTTTGACACTTTGTATTTCCATATTAATTTTAGAATTAGCTTATTAATTTTCACAAGAAGAAGGAAGGAAGAAAGAAAGGTAGGAAGGAAGGAAGGAAGGAAAGAAGGAAGGAGTGGGGAGAGAGAGAGGGAGGACAGGAAGAAAAGAAGGAAAGAGAGAGAAAACCCGCTGGGATTTTTGACCAGTATTGCACTGAGGCAATAGGCCAATTTGAGAGCATTAACATTTGTACAGCAATTTACGTGATATATCTTTTCATTTATTTACATCTTTAAAAACTATTCTCTGCAATGTTTTGCATTTTTATGCATTGGTCAAGTGCATATGTTGCTAAATTTATTTCTATCAAAGTGCTTGATTTTTCAAATGCTATTATAAATCATATCAAATTTAAAATACTATTTTTCAATATTTGTTGCAAGTATGCAAAAATATAACTGACTTTTGTATAATATGTTGACTTTAGATCATTACTTTAGCTAAATTTACTTACTCATTCTAATAATTCACCTGTAGATTCTATGTATACAATCATGTTCACAGGTAATATGAGGTTCGTGTCTTTTTTAACCCTTAAGTTTAGAAATTTTTTTTTCTTCTCTAAATTACTCTGGCTAGAACCTCCAGTACAATGTTAGATAGAAGTGGTGAGAGTGAATATCCTTGTCTTTTTCCCGACCTCTCTTCTATTAGAAGCTTTCCTATTTTATGATTAAACATGGAATTATTAGATATACCCTTCACAGATTAAGGAGTTCCCTTCTAGTCCTAGTTTGGTGAGAATTATACTCTTTTATCATGACCAAGTACTAAGTTTTATCAAATGCTTTTTATTAATCTTTTGAGATGGTCATGTGGTTTTCCTTCTTTATTCTGTTACTGTGGTGAATTATATTGATAGATTTTAAAATGTAAGACCAACATTGCATTTTTGGAGGAAACTTTTCTTGGTCATGATATTTGATCCTTTTGACATATCTCTAGATTTGATTTGCTAATTTTTTGCTTAGGAGTTTTATATCTATGTTATAGAGAAAGATTGGCCTGTAATTTTTCTCTCCAAATTTTTAATAATATTGCCTTAATATTTTTTTAAAATATCTGTAGGGTGTAAGAGAATGCCAACTGAAAGGTATACCGTGTGCTGGTAGTTGAAAGCAGAAGAAATTATAATTGATTGGAAGCTCAAGGGGGACTTAAAGTGGGAAGTATTTGAGATAAACCTTCAAGGAAAAGTAGAATGTTGACCGTGTAGATAGAAAAGATATTTTTGGCAAAAGGGAAACTTGGAAATAGTCACTTGATAATGTGTAGCAGAGAATTGGGGGAAAATGAGATGGTCTGGACTATCCTAAGACTTGAGTCATAGACAACGAGAAAACACCAAATATATTTTTCAATATTTCGATATGTTCAATATTTGGTTAACATGAGGACAATGTTGAAGAAAGACTCCAAGTTTTCCGACCTGGTGATTGGAAGGATGGAAAACACATTTCCAGAAGAAAAAGGAAAGAGGAAGAGAAATGTAGACTTCATAGGTCCCAGCATAAAAACAAAGGCTGGAGCCACATCAGTGAATGAGCTGTCAAGGCAGGGAACAGCACGAGGACATCGTCGGGTTGAGCCTAGAACCACTGATTTTATTCCCTTTAAGGAGTAAGGCATAAGGTGAGCCTGGGGCCCCGGCCACTGAGAGAGCAGACTTTCCAGTAGGGGAGAGTCCATCGCATCAGACTCTACAGCGTGGCCGAGGGAGGAGGACCAAGAAAGCTACTGGTCTTGGCGTGTAGGAAATCACTGCTGACCATGGTGGTGTTTGCAGAGAGAGTAAATGTTGGTGTCCATGGGAGGAGAGCAAGGAGAGAGCTTCATTCTGAGGCGCATGCTTTTCTGAGCTGTGCAACCCACCCTGTCTTCCACTGGGCAATTACTTATTGGCTCCTTCTGTATGCCAGGCTCCACGCTAGTACTCATTCATTATATGGTGGTGAACAAAATAGACATGATCCCTCTCCTATTGAGCTCATATCTAATGAGGAGCTAAACATCAAATTAACATAAAGAAATAATTAAAATTGGTGATTAGTGCTTAGGGAGAAAGAAGAGGGAATTATGAGAGAGAATAAAAGAAGGAGGCTGATTTAGATTGCAGAGAGGGATCAGGGAGTGCCTGACCAGGGGTTACACGCATGGGGCAAGTATGGATTGTGACAGCATTGACGTAACCGCTTGGGCTGCCCAAGTGCCTCCTTCAGGGGCCACGTACATGCGGAAGTTCTAGAACCTACAGGGCACCCCAACTCCTTAACTTCCTGTAATACCCAGACCTTACTCCCCATCACATGCCTATCTTCAGGAGATAGAGGAATCGGTCTGAAAGCAGAAACCCACCACAAATCAAAAGAAAAGGGGAAAATTTGTAGTCTGAGGCAAAATTTTCTTCAGAAGAACCCAGGGAAGATGAATCTACCACTGTTAAGTTATGACGTTGGGAGATTATGAAGGCTAATATGATTAATTGTAATTATCATTTATAATGTATACTCATAATGATATTGCTTCTAGAACATCTTCATTATCTTTCACTTTTGAAATGCTTGGGTTTCCCAGCAGACTTGAGAAGGGGCTTTTATTAGGCCCAGATCATCAATCCAAACCTTTTAAGGTAAGGGTGTTGCTACCTCAGAAGCCAAAGAGACATTTCCTAGCGTGGAAGGAAAGCACTAAATAGTCATTAGCTTCTTCCATCTGTTTACCAGCCCTCCTGTCATTGGGGTTCGACTGGCCTCAAAATTAACACTCTTCTCTATTTGTCCATCACTGGGCCGAACACAGACGGTGTTCTCAAGTGGCCTCAGGCAGGCTGTGCCAGAGCTAAGTTCCTGGGGAAAAACACGTCTAAATTGAATTTGGTTTATTCAGTTCCATTTGAAATGAAGCCTGTGTTTATAACAAAGACATACTCGATTCTCTTCAAAGCAAGTATCCATTGTCTGATCTAACTGGGCTCAGAAATCCTAATTTGGGGAGTTTTAGCACACTTCATTTATCACTGTGGCAATGTCAAAATCAGGATGGGTTTCTTCCTGCCTCCTGGGCTCCCTTCACGGGAGCAAACTATTCTTTCCCCAAGCTCCATTGAGCCCGCCCTCCACAATGCCTGGCCATCGTCTGTCTGTCTCAGCTTCCTCTGACTACCTTTTTGGGCTTCCCAGGTCTCCTCAGTCTTGTCTCACTTGAACACCTGCTCTACGGGAAGCCATGTTCTTGGCCATTTCGGCTGGCCCGTGCACCTTGACCTGTTTGTGTTAAGACCCTTTGGAATCCACAGGGACAACTCACCAGTGACCAGGGGCAGAGCAGCTGTATCAACTTAGCTTGGGGAAGCTCAAGTATCCAGTGATCTTTGCTATGTGGAGTTTGAAATTAAGCCCAATATATTACTCACGGCAAAACCAGGGGCCAGCCAAGTTAAATAGAGCACTCCCCGAAACATTCGTGGACTGATTAGAGAAGGAAGCTCCGATGTAAAGAGAGGCTATTCTGTGCCTGCCTTTATTTTTTTAAACAACATGCTCTCCACAAGTGAGACAGGAAAAGTAGAAACCTCAAAGAACGATATTTATTAATTTAAAAAGCTTAGGCCCATGACCACATGCCATGTCCCTTTTAACTTCATAATAGTGGCCACACTTTGACTGAGCTCTTCCTCCATCCAGAAACTGTGCTAAGCTCTCTGTAAGCATTTTCTCATTTAATCTTCATGACAACTCCATGATGTAGATACCACTGTTATTAACCCTTGCAGTGGGCAAGCTGAGTCCTAGAGGGAGTAGGCACACACTGCTTTTAAGTGATTGAGCTGGAATTTGAACCCTGGCAGTCTGCCTTTGTGTTGTTACCTGCTCTTAACCAAATGCAAGCACCCAGGAACTTCCCCAAAGAGAAGACCTTGAGAGAAAGCTGTGACATCACCCCATGGGTTTGTAAGTGGACGCCAGTTTTTGTTTGAAAGAATTCTGAAGTCCAGGAGTTCAATAAGGAAAAACACACCCCATTGAACCAAGCAGGGTTTGAGTTTGCAGATTATTTTCCAACCAGAAGGAGTTCATTGACTTGGAGGAAGAAAGAGATCATTTAATGGACTTACAGAAAATATTTTTGTTTTCACTTTTTTTTTTTTCCCCTCCCAGAACAGTTCAAATCTTCCTAGGCCATGGTTCACTCCCTCTGTTGGCTTTTCTACCTGGGATTATTTTGAGAGGCCTAAAGCTAAGTCCCTGTGTCCCCGACTGGCCAGGCCTGACCTAGCATTTGATCAGGGTACCCACACGGCCTTTGCAGCTGCACGTCCACACAGACGTGTTTATGGGAGCCCTGAGAATCTCACTTCTCCAAAAGCCCTGGGAATTAGATTGTTTTCCACATTGAAAGTTTTCATTTGAAAAATAACCCTCTTTGTTTAACTAATGAAAAGGAGAGGCTGTTGCTCCCTTCTCGGGCTGGGTAAGAATTCCATGGGCAGTAATTCTATTTCTCAGTGGAAAATGTTTCAGTTTTTTAATGTTGTTTTGCAGACTGGTCCCTGCCCGGCCCTTGCTCCCAGGACCACACATACACACATGTGCACACTCACCCATGCACAGTGCAGCATTTTCCACCCTTCCCTGTTGGGGGCTGGAGACGGCTGCATCCTCTTTCCAACACCTGCAGAACAAGAACGAGGTGGGTCGGTGGCTGTCACCCAGCCAGAGGCATCCCTGTGTGCACAGGAACAGAATGCTTTCCCGGGCTACGCTCTCAACCCTAGAGGCCGGGCGGGCCACAGAGGAAGGAAACTGGACTCCAGACCTCTCCTGTTGCTGTGCATCTCCATGTCAAGCAATTCTCTCACACCATGGAGGGGGTGGTCTGTAACATTCCCTCCTCATTAGGTCTGTACGAAACGATAAACACAGTGCTGTCATCGTTGGACTTACAATGTGGCCAGCATGGTGCTGAGTGGTCTAGACTGCACAAAACAAATCAAAATATGGCCCCAGGAGACAACGTAGTGGAGGGAGAAAAAGCATGATGCTCAGATTAGACAGACCTGCTCCATCACTGAAACAGCTCAGTCCACGGGCAAGCAATTGCAGAACCACTCTGAGCCTTCGTGTCCACAGCTATGGACAGGGGAAGTTATTTATCTCACAGAGATGTGCAGTGCCGTGGACAGTGTTTGTCACATAGTATATGTCCAAGGAACATCTATCTTTTTCCCTTTCCCTTGTTCTCTGAAAATTAGATATCTCCTTTCTCGCTGAAGAGACAAACCCTATTCCTGTAAAACGAGCTACAAACAATTGAGTGCCATCCCAGCAGAGCTGAGTACAGAGCAGGGCATCCTCACCAGGTCCACTGCAGAGTCAGTGGGCACTATCTGTTGGGGGGGGCTGTGTGTTCTAGGGTTGCAAGATCTGTCACCAGTGAGAACTGTTAAGAATTTAAAGAATTTCCTTTCTCTGGAGTGTAGATATACAAAAGATACACCTGTCCTAAGTGTGTGGCTTAAACACAGCTCTGCTTAAAGTGAGCAAAAGGGCTAGGCAAGATGACCACTATGTGAAAACAGACATCTGGAAGATCCACATGAATTAAATGTAAACAGATTAACTGCTAGCACAGGGTAAATGAGTAGCTTTGAAAGTAGATAGGGATAGTATGAAACAAGTCTGTTGGTCAGACTGCTTTTGGTTTTAAGTGATGGGAGCCCTCTTCTATATTCCCAAGCAAACAAATAAATAAGGAATTTATTGGTTCTTATAACCAAGACATTCTGGATTCAAGCTTCAGCTGGGGCTGAATAAACAAAATCATATTATGCTGTTAGGGTTAGCTGGTTTGCTCTGTCTCTTTCTCTTTCTTTCTCTCCGTCTCTCCCTCTATTTCTTCATTTTGTCTGATAGCCTAATTCTCTCCTCTTTATAATTAGCACCCTACTCTCAGTTTAGCAGCCCCAGCAGAGAGAGAAGCGATAGGTTCAGCCCCAACCCCAAATCTATCACTCCCTAGAGAATAATAAATAATAAGGTGCCATACTTTCTTTGCAGTCGTCAACCGAATGTTTGATGAGTGCCTACTTCATGCCAGGCACTGCTCTAGCCACTGGGGACAGAGTAGTGAACAGGACAGAGGATGCCCTGCTCCCAGGGAACTTACAGTCTCATGAGAGGACAACATTTTAGCTAAATCCTCCTGCTCCCTGCTACTCTGCATCAGGAACCAAACAGAAGTATAAAGCCCCTCAGTTCACAAAGAAGCCATTTTCTTTGCAAAATTGACAGCAAGCCACCAGATACAATTATATACACTGAAGGTTCCCATGTATAAAACAAGTGTATATATTGTCTCTCCACATTCTGGTGAGGGCAGCCTCAGTGTCCACCCCCCTGTTGAATGGCACCTCCTGGGGTTACACAGCAGGAAGCACCGCCAACCAGAAATGGCTGGGGCTCCTACAAGACATCACAGCCTTGGGGGTTCCTACAGAAAACCCTCACATTCATCTGACACACAAGGAACGTAAACAGTTTCCATCACAGGTCGGAGCAACCAGGACAACCCTACAGCTCTTGGGACTGGCCCTGCTTTATCCTGGTTGCAGGAGGTTCCAGAGATAAGAACTGTGCAGCTCCAACTGAGTTGTCAGTTACCCCTGAGGAGCCCAGGGAGACCTTAACAACCCAAGAGTTCTTTTTAATGGGGGAAGGGAGAATATGTGTATGTGTGTGTGTGTGTGTGTGTATATATATATATTCTCTCTCTATATATAGAATATATATATATAAATTATTTGTTCTCTGATCAAAAGAAGGTGGGATGCTCTCTAATCCATGACATGAAATGGAATTATCCCCTGAGTACACCGTAATGGGCACTGTAGTTTTAGGTTAGGGGAGAAAAAATGGCTTCTCCAAACTTCTGTATTTGGAGGGAGGAGTAAATTTGTGTTTCTCGATGACGTGGATGTGTGACGGGGTGGGAGGGAAGTCTCAGCAAGTATAGTTTATTCAGTATTTCTTGAGCGCCTACTACGTGCCAATCCTTTGGTTATATAAAAACAAATAATACAACATCTCTGCTCATGGATGGAGTGGCTGGAGTGGGGTCTTGCCTACAAACCATCCACACTGCAGCGCGTAAGTGTGCACAGCACAACACACTATGATGTGTCCCAGAGACACGGCTGGCTCTTAGCGTGGATGATAAGGATGAACGGTGTTCCCCTCATCGGGTCTCAGAACGGGTGCCTAGAACCCCAGCACAGAGCCTTGTCTGGAAACTGGAGGTTCTGGAGAAAGATAAGGACAGCCTTTAATGTCAAGCCTTGGAGCCACCCGAGGCCACCGCTTGTTAAGCGCGCTTAACCGCCGTAGGCCCAAGGTGGTGTGCGACAAGCATCCCCAGGGCTTGCTGGACAAATCATTAGTTTTTATTATTCTTCTTACTGTCAGGTACTCCGAAATCCACATGGACTGCCCTCATGATTTCAGGTTATCCCAAAAGAGAAACTCAAGAATCAGTGATGAGCACAGCAGGAGAGGGAGCCGGCTGCCTATCTCAAAAGGGCACATCACCATAATCACAGATGTGCCGTGAGCGTATGCAGAAAGAATGTACCGGGGGAGTGTGTGTCAGGAACAGCCGAGAGGATACATACACCAGGTGCCCCTCCCTGCAGCCCTCTCCCCCACCAAACGGTGCCTTCAAAATACGTGATGGGTGCCCACATCTTCTCTGTGACCCTGCAATCCTCCCTTCCCCCGTAGCCACCTTTGCTGCTATTCCACTAAATCTGCCCTGGGTGTCCCCTGGGCTGGCTGTTGCCTTCATATTTCATGCGGAATGTGCAGCTTCCCGGGAGCCCGAGGCATGCCCTGCATTCTGATGCACCGGCCGGCCTGACACCAGCCAGCTCCAGAGCATGCCTAATGAGGAGGCTGACAGTGAGACGGGAGAGTCAGGCCAGGCTGTGGTGCGCCTGCCGCAGACGCGGAGTGGGGCGACGGGGAGGCGCTGAGTGTGGACCAGGGAGAAAGATGGCAGTGGCCTCTTCAAGACGCTGCTCTATCACCAGACGCTACAAACATGGGCCAATTTAAACCACACCGGGACTGGATGGAGCCTCGAATAAACAGCAGTTTAGATCAAGGAACACTCTTGGAGAGAGCACAAAATGAGCAAGGAGAAGTGGTAAAAACGAAGAGAAGGTCGAAGCTTTGAAATCACTCACCTTTCAGTAGGCAGGGCAGCTGCCCATTTTAGTGTTTCTTCTAGGGTAGAGCTTCGTCAAGTTTCCTCAGAGACCACTTCATTATCTAAAAGATTCTGCTGAACAGAAGTTTTTCCTTTCCTTAAAGCCTCATCTACCTTAATTTCACGCATTATTCCTCGTTTTCACTGGCTCTATCAGGATAAATTGGCCCTTTCTTCCCCTGGTATTTAGGGCTTTTATACTTGGGGGTAGAGTATGTACCTACAATCACCATCCCAAAGCTACGAGGATGCAGTGGTAAAATGTACATCTGCCATCTACCTAATGCTTTTCCCAAGCCTGGCCCCATTCGTTCATCCCACCAACTTGATGAGGGGGGTAAGGCTAGGTCCATTTTACAGATGAGAAAACCAAAAGCATCAGAAGTTTATCCAAGGCCATTCATCAGACCAAGGTCTCAAACATGGGCCAGCATCAGGACTTTCAAATGAGCTGGTTACTCATTAAAAAGTTAAAATCTACCGTTCCACTAGAGTCTATGTGGAATGATGTAGCAAGTCATGATTTCTAATAATTTAATTTAGATACAATATTAGCAAATGCAACTTTACACTTACATAGGTGAGATCATTATTTAAGTCATGAAATCTAACAACAAAAATTTCCTTTAAAACTTTGATTTTGTCATTCTGTTTCTCTTTTGCTCTGTGTGTGTGTGTGTGTGTGTGTGTGTGTACGCGCGCACGCACTTCCGTTTTGGCTCTGGGGGTGATAATTTCTTAATAAAATGCTTCATAAAACATATTGTTGAATGTTCACAATGTGCTTCACACTTTTTATTTTCTTATGTCATCCTGACACTGTGAGCTGGGCGATACTGTCCCACTTTGCAGATGAGGAAACTCTTGCTCAGAGCAGGCCAAGACCACAAGCTCTTAAGTGGCAGGACAGGCACCTGTCTGACTTGAAACTCCAGGCTTTTAGCCCCTACAGATAATGCTCATATTAAACCACCTGTTTTGCTGCCGCAGCATATGAATACATCTTTAATACAATACAATGCCCTTTCATTTTCCAGCATCACTGTTCTTCACACACTTCCTCTCCACTGGGTTCTTTATGTATTACCCTCTTTAATACCTGCTCTTTTCCAAAGGAATTGAAATCAGAATCTCAAAGAGATATCTATCCTGCCATGTTCACTGTAGCATTATTCACAATAGTCAAGACATGGAAGAAACCGGAACGTCCATTGACAGATGAACGGATAAAGAAAATGTGGTATGTTCATACAATCGAATACCATTCAGCCTTATAAAAGAAGAAAATCCTGACACTTGTGACAACATGGATAAACCTGGAGGACATTATGCTAAGTGAAATAAGCCAGACACAAAAAGACAAATACCACATGAACCCACTTACATAAGGAATATAAAATGATCAGACTCAGAGAAGCAGAAAGACGAATGTTGGTTGCCAGGGTCTAGGGAGAGGGGAAAATGGGGAGAAGTTGACCCAAGGGCACAAAGTTTCAGCTGTACACTATGGATAAGTCCCAGAGATCTACTGTACAGTGTAGTGCCTATAGTTGACAATACTGTATTGCGCACTTAAAAATTCGCTGAGAAAGTAGATCTTAGGATAAGTGTGAAAAAAGAAAACTTGCACTTTTTCTTATGTAGAATTATATTTTAGCAGTACTTTTTAATGCTTCTTTAGATTCTGTTCTAAGAACAGATCCATTCCTGACTTAAAATTTTAAATTAATTTTCTTGTTGTTTTTGAATACTTTTGGAATTAGAACCACAGAATTTTACAATTGGAGGAAACCCTGGAGGTTATCCATCCACCTTGCTCCCAAGGCAGGAATTTCCCTTCTAATGTTCCCAGAAGATGGTCAGCCCATCGTCACTTAAACATCCTCAGTGCTAGAAAGCACACGGCACCAAAAGGCAGCTCAGTCCACTCCAGGGCAGCCTGAATTGTTAGGTCTTTCTTCCCTTTGCTTCCTTCAAAGGAATAAGGGTGGGGGTGGTGTTGGGGGTGGGGAATTCAACCCATAACAGTCTCTTGTCTGCTAATCAGCCCTTTAGACATGTGAAGAAGCCACTTGTGCTACCCCTGAAGCTTTTATTTTTCTGGTTTAACAATCTCCAACTTTTTGCCAGACTCCTCTGCCCTGGGAGTCTCTTCTGAAACACACGCTTCTCTTTGTCAGTGCCTGAAAGGGTGGCACCCTGCCAGCTGGGCTCGGAGGACTCTACCTCTCCATGTCAGCTCCGGTCGAGTTCACACTCTCAGCTGCCTAGGTGCGCAGAGCAAGGCTCGTATTGATCACAGGCTCGGCTAATCCTCCCGGGTCTCTACCACATGGATTGTTCTTAAACCCGGTCTCCCCCATCCAGTGCTATGCTGTTTGATTCTCTTTCCAGAACATCCACAAAACAGCGCTGGCCAGAGAGAGATCCTTTGGGTACTTTGCTGAAAACCTCTTGTCTGAGCTGGCAGCAGTGTCACGTATGCGTGGGTCTCTCCATCACTTTCCAATTGTCACTGCTGCACACTCTGCTCTAGTCTTCACATCAAATCCAACACAGAAATGAAGATACATGAAGTGGTTTGAAGCCACCTCATTTGCTAATCCTGAAATGTTCGAAGAGATCAGGTTTGCTTGGTGAGCTCAGTTTTTCAGAAACACGCCATGTAAACGTCTCATCATCCTGCTGTCTTGCAGATACTCACGGAGCCTTTCTCAAGATTTGTTCCATTTTCTTGCACAACATTAAAATTCCCAATTCTATGTTTTCCCTGGATTATTTCCAGGGAAGTAATGCTTTCCTATTTTGGAAATCAGTCCCACATGTCTTCTTTTAATACTTCTGATAAATCCCCTGTTCATGATTCATATTTTTCAGCCCTTTAATAAGTGGACTTCTTAAGCAATTGTTTTGATCAGTTTCTAATTTCGGGGGCAGAGGAGGGAGAGTCCTTCAAATCTACTGATCCGTACTCCCTTCAAAGTCACCCTTTCTTGGTGTAGCCATCCTTTATAGACAGCAAAGAACTGAGTCAGGGCCATAAAGAAATCAGCAAGTAGAAATAGGGTAAAATAAGTAGCAGGCTTAAAAGAAAAAAAATAGTCAATTCTATTTTTCAAAACTCTTTTGGTTGAGAATATGAGCTAAGGGAACTATAAGAGGTGCAAAGTGGAAAGTCTGGGAGAACAGGATGGAGAAAGGTGGGTGGAGGTGGGATTATGGAGGGACGTGAATTGCTTTGGCGTATGAAAATGTGATAACTCTACCAAACCAAGCGACGCCCAGCGCATGAGTTCAGGCCCTAATCCTTCCAGGACGAGTTCTGGAATCTCTGGAAAGCAGTAGTATCCTAGTGTATTTTGCACATGGAAGAGGATTATTTAACACCATCCCCTCTTCCAATATCACAACATTAATTTTTAGGAACCAGCATATAACATTCAATTATAATTATTTCTATGTATTATTTAGTTTTTGAAACTAGTAACAATTAGCAATTTAAAAAGAGGAAAACTCAACTTTAAATATACTATTCAAAGGCAGCAAAATATTTCATGGATGCACTAAAATGTATACTTATTAAACAATATCTCAAAATTCCCACTCTCTTTCACTGTCTTGAATTTCAAACACAAAGCTACAAGAGGTCACATAAAATGTCAGAATTGCTATAACCCAAGTTTTGCTTCTTCATCCTTATAATTGTGTGTCATCACTTAAAAAAAAAAATCTATTGTTTAAATGCAGGGATATGTTCTACCACAGGGGTTCAAGACACAAGCTACACCCAAAGTGAACTCCAACAATTCCTACCCGCAGGTATTTATTCCCTAAAGGAAGATGAATATCTGCATCTGCCTGTGTGGAAGAGAATTTATGAATTATCTTCTATGTAGAACACAAAGTTTACTAAATAAGCAATAAAAATGTGCATATATGTATATATAATTAAAACTCAACAGTAACTGCAACAATTGCTTAACATAGACCAATGGAAGACTTTTTGGGGGTGGGAAGCTGCATATTTTATCACTGACATTTTTTAGAATCACTGGTGCGTGGTGATGATAGAAAGCTGATCAACCACACACTGGTACCGAGGCCCTTCTGCTCTTGCTGCCCCCTCCTTGGCGGCCAGGTCGGAAGGTCGTGGGAGTGGTGAGCAGGATGGCATATTCAAATATCCCACAGTACTGTTGCAAGGAAGAATTAGGGCTTGAAAGAAGGGT